GCTGGAGAAGAGTATTGAATGTATCGTGGACTGCCAAGAAAACAAACAGATTCATCCTGGAGAGGGTTAAACCAAGCTATTCCTTGGAGGCAAGGATTCTGGGGCTTCATCTGACATACTTTTGACATATTGTAAGGAGGGACAGGTCCTTGGAGAGGGACATCATACTTTGGAGGGTGGAGGGATGACGCAAGAGGGGAAGACCCTCTATAAGGTGGATTGATTCAGTGACTGAGGTAATTGGGATAGGTGTGTCGGAGGCAGTGCGATTGGCACAAGACAAAGCAGGGTTTAGGTCTGTTGTACATAGGGTAGCTATGAGTCACAAGCGGCTCGATGGCACTTAACAAGAACAACAACAACAATATACACATTAAGAAATGCTCGAAATCACTGGCAATAAGAGAGATGCAAATCAAAACCACAATGAGATACCATTTCACTCCAGTAACAGAGTAGTTTGGTCTTTTTGTTTTGTTTTGTTTTTTTCTTTTTAAATGTACTGTTGGATTTTGTTGACCAGGAATTTGTTCAGGATTTTTGCATCCATGTTCATGAGAGATACCTTACTTTGGTATCAAGGATATGTTTTCTTCACAGAATAAGTCTGGGAGAATGTCCATACTCAAGCAACACCTACACCTTACACCATTCACATGAAGCAACTCAAAGTGGATTAAGGACTTAGGCATAAAACCAAAGACTATAAACTTCATCCAAGAAATGCTTGGAAGAACTCTGGAAGCCTTAATCAATAGCATGAACAGTCTCCCAAGCATCCTGATAAACTTACGGCCAGGAGAGAATAAAATAGATGAATGGGACCCTCTAGAAATCAAATCCCTATGCACATCACAAAACTTCTCTAACAGGCTAAAACGGAAAACCACAGACTGGGAAAAAATATTTGGTAATGACATGTCTGATAAGGGATTTATATCTATAATTTATAGAATACTCAAGCTCTCCAACCAGATAAAGGTAAACAATCTAATTGCAAAATGGGCACAGGGTATGAACAGACACATCACCAAAGAAGACATTCAGATGGTGAACAAACACATGAAGAGAAATTAAAAATCCCTAGCTCTAAGAGAGATGCAAATCAAGACAACAATGAAATAGAATTTTACCCCAATAACAACAGCAAAGTTCAATAGAGCAGCAAACAACAAACGCTGGCAATGTTGTGGAGAAATTGGAATCCTTATTCACTGTTGGAGGGAGTATAAAATGATGCAGTCACTCTGGAAGGCAGTATGACCTAGCAACTGAACAACTGGGAATGTAACTTAAAGAAACCAGAACTTCCACCCAAACAGACATATACATATCCATGTTTATTACTGCATTGTTCACAATAGCAAAGAAATGGAAGCATGCCAAGTCCCATCAATAGATGAATGGATAGAGAAGTTGTGGTATATTCACACAATGGAATACTACACAGCACCAAAAAAACAAGAAACTTATAAAATATTATACAAAATTAGTGACCCTGGAATACATTATGCTGAGTGAAATATCTAAGTCACAAAATGACAAATACTGCATAATGCCACCGTTATAAAACAGGACTGACATGAAGATTAGGGCAAAACTAAGAAAAGAGGGGATACATAATGAACAGTGCATTGAAACAGATGAGGGAAAGAACTGTTTAAAAGGAATATATGATCGGGTATTATTTGCATGACAACAGTCCAGAATAAGAGGTGTATAGTCAGTGGACTGGGGGGTAGGGAAAGGTAGGAAATGGTGCAACAGTGAAAGAATTTTTTAAAGAGAAAAGTGAACTAGGGAGGTAGAGAAGAAAATGTGCTACAATGAATGAATGGAAATCCAAGTTTTCTGCAAACTTTCATTAAAATATCAATTAAAAAATAAAATAAAACATATAAGTAGAGAACACCAGAAAAAAAAAGAATGAAAGTTTTGTATTGTTGTTATTGTTATGTGCCGTCAAGTCACTTGGGACTCATAGCGACCCTATGTACAACAGCCCTAAACTCTGCTCTGTCCTGTGCCAATCGCACTATCTCTGACACTCCCATCCCGTTTATCCCAGTCACTGAATCAATCCATCTCATAGAGGGCCTTCCCGTCCTGCACCGTCCCTCCACCCTCCCAAGCATGATATCCCTCTCCAAGGACCAGTCCTCCTCACATGTCCAAAGTATGTTAGATGGAGCCTCAGAATCCTTGCCTCCAAGGAGCCACCTGGTTTAACCCTTTCCAGGACAAATCTGTTTGTTTTCCTAGCAGTCCATGGTATTCTCAATACTCTTCTCCAGCACCACAGCTCAAAGGCATCAATTCTCCTTCTATCCTCCTTGATAACTGTCCAACTCTCTGATGCATAACAAGTGATTGTAAAGACCATGGCCTGTATCAAATGGACCTTAGTCTCCAGGGAGACACCATTGGTCTTCAGTACTATGGGGAGGTCCCTAACAGCAGACTTTCCCATGGCAAAGAGCCTTTTAATTTCCTGGCTACTGGTGCCAAGAGTGTTGACTGTGGAGCCAAGCAAACTAAAGCTGTGTATAATCTCAATCTCTTCACCATCCATCCTGATGCTGCCAATTGGTCCAGTGGTGAGAATCTTTGTCTTCTTGACATTGAGCCTCAATCTGTATTGGAGGCTGCAGTTCTTGACCCTCTGCAGCAGGTGCTTCAATAGTTTTGTATTAAGACACTGAAATTTCAGGAATTGTTTGATACTGCCACATAAACTTACATTATGTACTATTATGGTTGTTGCCACAGAGTCACATTGATAAAGAAAGAAAATCTGTCTAAAGCTTTATACAAGGAGTTCTAGTGGTACAGTATGTAGCATGTTGTGCTGCTAACCAAAACGCATCTGCATCAGATCTGACTCACAGCAGTGAGTGAGCAAAGATTCATACACATACAGGAAGTCCACACACGGGAGGAATGAATTGGATGTGCAAATTAAGAAATGAAATTTATAGTGTTTTAAAATCTTCTCAGATACATAAATAAAAAAATTAATAGGAAAATATACTTAACAAAAATAGAGCCTTACTTCACAACTTTGCCACTGGTTTGGGATATTTGGCCGGAACTTCTGGTCACAAACGACTTTCTTCATTTCCTCTATTGAGGGATCTGAAGGCACCATGTCATAATAAGGCAACTGATAGTCCTCTGTAATTCCTGTAAGAAATGTGCACAGTAAATTTTTCTACAGATAAAATAAACAAAGATATCTAGTTCAAGATTGTATCAGTTAAATCTCCTAGGCACAGTGGCACCCTGAGGAGCTGGAAGGACACGTTTATTAAAATAATCTAAATAATAATATAAATACAAAGATATAAACTTAAATTACTTAGTTGAATAATTGGATTTTTAATTTCTCTAAAAACTCAATATGCTATTTCAAAATAATACCTAATTTTTCCTAATTACAGAATTTACAGCATAGCCTCATTGACCTCATACATTTTAAAAGCTGACTTTCTTATCTTTGTATTTTAGAACTAGTATACCTGAGAATGTTCCCAGGAAGTAGCCAGAAGTATTTGAAAAGGTACGGTTCAATGTGAAGGTTAATGTTTAGACAGCCTCACATGCAAAGATAAGGCTTAACTTTAATTATCAGAATAATACTTAGATTCCTGGTTTTGGGGATTGTAATGCTTCGACTCGTGGTGCTGGAGAAGAGTCTTAAACATACCAAGGACTGCCAAGAACACAAACAGATCTGCCTTAGAGAGTGTAAAACCATGTTTCTCCATGGAGGCTAGGATTTTGAAGCTTTGTCTCATACTTTGGGCATGTAGCCAGGAAAGACCAGTCCTTGGAGAAGGACATCATTCTTGGAAGAGTGGAGGGACAGTGCAGGAGAGAAAGACCCCGGGTGAGATGGATTGATACAGTGACTGGGGCTATGTGGGTAGTGTATAGAAGTTGATGAGACTGGCTCAGAAGAGGGCAGGGTTCAGAGCTGCTGTACATAGAATAGCTATGGGATACAGGTGATTGAATTGCACATAACAAGAACAACCATTGCTGCGAACCTGTAGTTTCTCTAGGACTTTGTCTACTCAGGTGGGAATAACTCTCTGACCTAGACCTAGACCCAAGAGAGGAGACAGGTACTAGGTCTTTAGCAACTATGGAGATTTGGGAATTGCACTCTGGAAACTTGTTGCTTCCTTGGGCCACTGTCTGCTCAGGTGCAAAAAAACACTCTTCCCAACCAGCCCCAGAAGAATAAACAAGTACTAAGTCATTAGCAACTACTAAAACTTGGGAACTGTATTGTAGGGAACTTGTTCCTTTTTTCTGCCTTTGTCTGCTTAAACAGGAATTACTTTCTCCCAACTAGCCTCAGAGAGGGGACAGGTACAAAGCCACTATGAGCAACTATCAATATTTGGAAATTACACTGTTGGAAACTATTTGCTTCCTTGGGTCTCTGCTGGCTCAGGAAGTAAGAGCTCCCTGCCAACAAACCTTGGTAGGAGAGGAGATAGGTAGCATGTCAGCCATTAGCACTTAGAGAGACTTGGGAACTGTACTGTAGGCACCTTGCCACTTTTCTGGGCATTTTCTGAGAGCAATATATTCCAGGCAGTACTCCTGGGATATTGCCTCCCCTTAGGATAAACTATAAAACTACATCAAACTACAGGAGTATTAGAGAAATGGGTTCACCATAGCTAAGAGAGACACCAGATCCTTGCTCCTCAAAGGACAACTGGATTAGAAGCTTCCCACAGGAAACAGGGGACAGAGCTTGCTATAGACAACCAGTTGAGAAGACTGTACTGGGAAGCTGAATAGTTATTGTTGTTGTTGTTGTCATGTGCCATTGAGTTTCCTGCGACTCATAGCAAACCTATGTATAACAGGCCTAAACCCTGCTCTATCTTGTGCCAAACTTACTGTCTCTGACACACCCATCCCCATTACTAAAGTCACTGAATCAAACCATTTCATAGAGGGTCTTTCTCTCACACTGTCCCTTCACCTTCCCAAGCAT